TGGCTATAAAACAGGAAAAACAAGAAGACTCTGCATCCTAGAATCTTAAAAGACGCGATCAAGAAATTTTGACCCATACAAGTCCGTTGACAAGTCCAAAATATTATTAAATTAAATTATAACAAACTATAATAAAACTGGTACAATCGACACATTATTTAATTCATATTACACACAAATTTGAACTCAACTCCCACAATATTGGGTGTGTATTCTGTAATTTTCAAGATTCAGTCTATCCCCAGCTGCCTGCAAGTTTCCCTCTTATGCAGACCACCTCATACATGTACGTATATTGCTATTGTTGTCGCTGTGCAGTTTTGTCTCAGTCTCTGTGCTTCTCTCTTTACCACCCATCCGCTCTATCCCTCTACCCCCCTTTCTCTCTAACCCCAACTGGTCGAGGCAGACGGCCACCCACCTAGAGCCGGGGTCTGTCAGAGGTTTCTGCCTCTTAAAAGGAGGTTTTTCCTTGCCGTCGTCACCAAGTGCTTGCTCATGGTGGGAACTGTAAATAATTTTTGAAGGAGTACAGTCTTGACCTAGTCTATTTGAAAGTGTCATGAGATACTTTTGTTATGAATTGGCGTTATATAAAAAAAACTAAATTAAAATGAATTGAATTGAATGTATATGTATGTCCTGTGTTTGATTCTCCTGTTTTCTTGCCATTGCTGTAAACCTGTAAAGACTCAGGCTCACATATTTGTTGCAAGTAAGCCATTACACAAAAATACCAGGGGGAACTCAAGTCAAACCAGTACAATGATGTAAATATGGAAGCCAAGGGAGGTCATGTGGCTGAATGTTTTTTTTTATTCCATTATTACAAACTGCTCACACGTTGAAGTAGATGATAGTGGCAGCAGCAACAGAACGTACAGAGAAAAATGATTACATGAACAAAAACCTCCTGAAGTGAGAGAAACTATATCTTGATGATTACTGAGGTTCCCACTTTTATGAAACATTAATACCTGCTGTCAAGGAAAATTCACAGAATAGCATGGTATTGTTAGCCCCGTTTGGGAGACAGTAACTTGCCTAGCAACTGGTAATAGGAGAGAAAAGTAGGGAGAAACTGAAAAAAATTATAATAAGATCCTTCAGAAAATGTATAATGGCTGTTTTTTAAACTGAGTCACAATAGCATGGCAAGGTAATTGTTTTAAGTAGAAAGCATAAGTCCATTGACTTAATTATACTTTATAACTCACGACAGGTGAAGTCTGTGACGTTTAGCAGTTTAACATTCTCTGAAACGACATAATTGCTATACATAGTTATTTCCTTACAGTCATTTTATACAAACTGGAAAAGACAGTGTGAGACTTTGCTGATTTAGTGTTGAAAGAGCAAGATTGAAGGACATGCTGGTGGATGGAAGAGAGTGGACCATTATAGGTCTATTTGAGACAAACAACAAAGAAATACAGGTTCAAAGGGCTTTATTGATTAAATGAGGGTGAAATAACTACAAAATCTTTTGTAGTTATCATTTATTTTCTTATCAAACAACTGATTTGTTTCCCTCGTCTTCCTAAAAAACACTTTGATGACCCATTATTATCGTTATCTTTTACACGCTCCCATCTTACTTACCTTTTTTATTATAGATGCACCAATTCAATCGCAGAATCTTTTCCTTATGCTCTGAACATGATGTGTATTCTTTAGCCTTCTGAATGTCGCATTCCTCTCTTTTGTTGCAGAGGAACATGCCTACACCAAGAGCATATAGTTCCTCTTTCCATCTCTTACACGCCTGCTGTGTCACACCTTTCTACCATTCTGCCACGTTTCAGTCAGCTATCACTGCCACCTTGCACCCCTTGTGCTGTGAAAACTGGCCCGGTTTAAGACATTTACGTTCACTTACAGAACATGTACTAAATTAAACTATTGAACCAGTTAATTCAAGTGCAATGATTGTTTTTTTTTAATTTTTTTTTTATAAAAGCTGATACTGCTTAATCCTGCGATTTATATATCTAGATATTGGTGTGGTTATAGTAAAATTACCAAAGAAACCTTGTCCTCACTAGAAGTCTGACTCATTCCTTGTTCAAGGTGTTTGCATGCTCAGCCTTGAAAACTGCAACTCTATCTCACCAGAGCTTTGAAAAGCTTCTCCAGCTTGGACAATTGATTTGAATCAGTTGAACTACAACTAGACATGTGTACTAATAATGTATCATCTGGGTTTCTGAGGCGCTGACCTCCTCGATTTCCTTTGCTCTCATTGCGAAGCCTCACATTGAACATCTCTGAAATGTGAGATGTTCTAGCTCCACGTCACACAGGTTTTCTAGTATTAATTGGGGGCACAGCTTCAGAGGCTTTTAAGCTACCTGTGGCCAAAGGTCGAACAAAATATCTGCCTTTAATGAAGTTGCGGCAAATGTCTGCTCAAGTATCTCTGAGCAAAACCCAGAATAATTTCCACCTTAAAAGCCACTGCTCTACGCCTGACCTTGCACCAAATGAACAAAAGTGAATTATTTGATCTCTGCTCACTTCTTTGCCCCAGCTTATAGAATATGTGAGCAAACGGAGAGATCAAACAGTATGCCACAATTAAATAGCATATAGTAAAAAAACAAGAGTCCTGCATGTTGACTGGTACAGGGTATGTTACTGGGGCTGGACCTCATTCATCGCATTTGTGTGTCAAAGTGAAGGCAGCTAATTTACAGTACAGTACATGCTACCCTTTGGTGTCAACAAGGAACATTCTGCTCACTCTTGTTTTCTCTTTGTTCACATGTTCTTTCAGCCATGAAATCACATCACAAAAAACCTTGTAATGGATTATTTGCACCTGCTTGGATCAGCCAAAAGCACTGCTAGTCCTTCCTATCACACCTGCTAACCTTTCAGAAAGTTCTGAAGTACCACTTTAAGCACCTGCTAAATGTGTTCATGCATTATTTGTGGTGAGTAATGTCTGCTCTTTTTTATATTGCACTACTATAATGTCTACTACTTGATTTAATGCACAAATAAATAAGCTCCCTGCATAATAGATTAGAAGTAATTTTCACACTGCAAACAAGGGCATTATCTAAACAACAATTAAGAATTCAAGTGCTTTGCTCTTTGGTTAGGTTTAAAGATCAAGTGGCATTATGACAGTGTTTTTGTATATGCCACATAATACTGTGTTCTATTTGCTGTTTTGTAAATGAAAGGGAGATTAATTCAGCTTTAAGAGACTATATATGCATGCTAAAACTGGCACATAAATACAGAATAATGTTGGAGGTCTTGTTTAGTATTAAAATATGCCCAACAGACTACCTTCTCAGTACAATACAGTCACAGACTGCAGTTACAATGTGAAGCTAGAATACTCTGCTCACAGCCTCTAATGGCACCATTAAGTTACAGAACTCTAAGTGGCTTAGTTAGAAGCTAACGATTATGAAATGTTAGTCACAGTAAGAGCAAGACAGATTTCAAATGTAATGAAAATAAAGGGCGTTTTCATGCAGTTACAACTGCATTAATACAGCACCGGCTTTGTGATGTGATGCACAGAAGTAAAAAAAAAAAAAAAAAACGAGAAGCCTTGTTTTCACCCACCTAGTGGATCTCAACATTGTGGTGCGTAAAGCTGTGTTAGTAATCATAAAAAGACATTTCCCCACTAGAAGGCATTATCCATAATGTTAATGGAAATCACTGTGTAGTGCATGCACAACTGGGGTTACTAATACCTGTGAAAACTTATTAAAATGTATTATTTGGCTCTGGAGGAACTCAAGTCTGAGAAACTAACCCAGATGATGTAATCTAATTTCTAAGATTGTGGAGTTTGAAAGACATTGACCAGGCACAGAGAGCCTCATGACAGATGCAATTGAGTTTTTAAAATGTATTATTGATTAAATTGTTATTGAAATTATTTTATGAATCCAGAGTTTTTGATATCTTGGCCTCTGCTGAAAATCGGACCTGTTATTTAATTGTAACAGTAAATTGTTAGACTACCACTTCACGTTTTTTCACATTTGATTCAATTCAAATATGCTTTATTTGTTTGACAGAAAAAAATGGTAATGGTATTATTTACATTACATATACATATCAGCAGTAACAATACCAGTAAAAGAAACAGACATAATTAATTTGTCTTTTCTTTTTCTATTTTTATAAAAGTTAATTAAGTATTGCAATATTATTAATTTAGTATTTAGCATTAAGATATTACATTTCAACAAATAAAAAGCTAGGACGAATATAAAGTAGTAAATACACAAGAAAAGTAAAGTATAAATAATAAACATGATAGATATAGTAAAATATAAAAAATAACCCTAAGAAACAAAATTAATAAAAACATTATTGTGAAGAAAATCACAGAAAAATCAGGTGCAGAGGGCATTTACTTAAACTCTTGAAGCAAATGTTATTTATTGTATTAATTATTGTATTTATTGTTTATTGTATTCACACATTTCTCTCTTTCAAATTATTTCAATTGATGGGAGAGATTTCCAAATGTTCATATGACAATGACATATGACATTTACCCAGCAAGATTATAAGTCAATTGTTTGTTATTTATGGTATAAAATAATAATAATTAATATAAATAATCATTTATAAAAATAATAATTTACTGTTTGTTTGTTATTTATAGTATAAAATAATAATAATTTATATAAAAACAATAATTGACTGTTTGTTATTTATGGTATAAAATAATAATAATTTATATAAAAACAATAATTGAC